ATAGGGGACCTCTAGTATTTTCTTGGTAGTGGATCCTTGCATAATAAAGTAAACCTCTTAACTGGTTTTCTTTAGTTACCATATGTAGGAGTTACAGGTTCTTCTGTAAGGTGCTGGTCTTCTGTTGGCACTTCCTTGCTGTCTGAGCTATTTATTTCCTCAATATCTCAGTAGTCTTTGGTTTTGTGGTCCCCCAAACTGCATGTGAGTAACTTGCAGTATGTTGTCCTATTGTGCAGACTGCCATTAGTATCAAAACAGAGTAACAAAAAGTTTGGTCTTGGGTTAAATTTGAAGTTGTGATTAGGTGGCGTGTTTTGACTAATCTGTTACTCAGAAAAGAGGCCAAAACCATAGCATTGGACTAAGATGCTGAAATCTGTGATTTCTGATGTGTTAGCTCCCATCAGTTGGAAAGTTTACTGTGCTATTCTTTTTCAACAGTGTAACTGAATGTAGTAGCGTATTTTGTTCCTGCACAAGGTATCGATGTGTTGCTGTTCCCATGTAATTACATGCAATTACTTTATTTTTTATATATAAAATAAAGTACAATTGAATTAAGTGGTTTGGATTAAAAAACCCTACTGAAAAGTATTTAACAAACACGACAAATACACCACTTTCCATGAATAAAGAATAGCAATTGAGGAGAGCATCATTATGTTGTAGTGCATTTGGCTTAAATTGCACAAATAGGCCTTTCGTTCCAAACTAATCTACAAATGGAAACGGCATCCCACACTATTTTTACTTTGAAAATCATCCTCTGGTGTTAAATCTCCACAGCAGAGCATAATTGGATGTGTTTTGACAGTAGCTTTTTATTTACTTTATTCACACCACTTTTAGCTTGTTTACCATCCATATTTTCCATGTTGTGGCTGACAAGTCTAAGACCCACCCGAAGACAGCAGGGGAAAATAACGCTTCAAAGCTGCACAGCGTGTAGCATGTCTCTAACATGAGATCCATCATATATATTTTTGGCAGGCCATATCCCCATACAGTTCCCTGAGAATCTAAAAGCAAATGCAGTGATAGTCTGGATGCATAGAAAAGAAAATACTGACTTAAAAAGGTATTAAATGAAAGCAAGCAAAGCCAGTAGTGCCTTACATGCAGCAAGGAGTTGGTTGTGCTTTGAAGGCAAGCTCTTGATCTTACTGTGTACCTCCATTGGAAAATACCTTTTAAATGTTTACTTAAATGTCCACTTTAGTAGGCATAGTCTCTGTCAAAGCGGCCAGTGCATCTGCCAACGTGCATCTTGGCAAGGTGCGGGAAGCTCTATCATATATAATCGGCTTCCACATGAGTTAAGGTGTTGCCAGTTACACTAACCCTTTGGAAAAGCACAAGCTTGGAAGCCAATGTAATATTAGAGCTGTTTGAACTACAATTTCAGTACATTCAGCAGACAAGCTCCGGCATGATGTTTGCCATTTTCTTCGGTTTTCCATAGTGCGTGAGTGGTTTGTGTCTATGTCCACGTCCTGCCGCAGTGCAGTAGACATACTGAGCCTAAGGCTCATCTGCCTGACGTGGGCAAATGCATTGAGGTGAGGTTGGTGGAGTTTCATTCCACAGAGAATCTCATCAGCTGTGTGGCATAGGCCTTGTAATTTGGTCCAGGTTATTCTGCAAAAGATGTTTTACAAAATATCCTTGGTAATTTTTATGTATTAGGCCTTTTTTTCTTTTCCTCTGCCCCAGATGTTCACTGCTACAGAGGCCACTGAACAGTGTTCACATGGGCTCCCAGGTGACCCAGGGTTTACGAAGCTCTCGTCTTCGGTGCTTTTTGTACTGTGTAGGCCATGCTTCCCCATTTTTTTGGCCAGATTAAGGTGCTGCTAGTCCTTGCCCATGGGGCTTAGTGGCGTGTTCAGTGGTCTCTTCTGATGGGAAGGCCAAATGAAGCCCCCATCCCATAACACTAGCCAGCAAATGCACATGAGGTGGAGGTGAATAAGAGGGAAGAAAAGTTTGCAGCCACCTTGGTGGGAAACCTTAAGAAGCGGGTAAAACCTTTAGGATTTGGGAAGAGCTAAGCAGAGCCAGTCCCAGTAAAGATGCTTTGGCTGGATTTGCCATTCTCTTTGTTTGCTGATGCGTCAAGAATGTCAGGATGGAGGATAGTGTAGACTCCATTGCTTAACTGCCTTTTTAGCTCGTATTTCCCCAGAATTAATCCAAGCTATTGTTTCAGGCTAGTTGAAAACTTAGGCAAAACTTCGTTATATGCCTAGGTAATAGGTTAAATTACTTTTGGTAGTGGTTTTTAGAAATACTTTGGTTTTTAAAATTATTGCAGGTTAAAAATGAAAAATAACGGGAAATTACTTGGGGTTTTCCCCTTTTTTTTCAATTCTCCTTTCTCACCAAACATATGTAACTTCTCAAGCAATTTCACAATTATCTGTAAATTGCAAGCACAAGCTTCCCAGGGAATTTCCCTAAGTAAAAAATTTTCCATTCAAGTTTCCAAGACAGAATGTTCCCTCTTCCTAGGGAAAGCAAATGTATCCGCACTGGCAGAGCTCCCTTTATTGGGGGGGGACGCAACCAAAAAACAACAAAACACCCCAAAATGTGACACTAACAAACCTTACCTACTTCATCATGAGTAGATTTTAAAATATCTGTTGTTCTTCTGCTATTAATGCCACAGTGCCTTGTGCAGCTCCTGATCATTGGGGTGTGACAAGAATGAGTTTTGTACCTAACTTTATTCAAAGATGGAAGATTGTTATTTATGATTATTTTCACTTTAAATTTATAGGGCAATTACTAGATTATTCCTCAGGCCTAGCTTTCATTATGGTGACTTTATTTCTCATGCTGGCTTTATTTTTGCTGATTTTTTCCTCCCTTGAAGCAGCCATTCAAGCAGTGATTAAATAAGCCAAACATAAGTAGCATGTGCAGTGTGGATGCCAAAGCATAAGTAAAATCATATACTTACATTAGCTGTGAATGATGATGATTTTTGCTTAGGTAAAGGAACTGGTAGGTATTTCCTTTTGTAAGTTCTTAATTGTATATTCTTAATGTTCTTGCTTATTATTGGCATGATCAGCTTAACAAACCCCAAATCCTCCTTGTTGCATTGCATTCCCCTTGCCACCTGTAACAGGCAGGATGAGTTATCCTTGGGAGCTGAAGGAATTCTTTAGTAACTAAAGGACAAAAATACTGGCTGAGTTGATTATTCTTTTTTGCAAAATGCAGAGGGCTGCATTTGTCTTAACTTCAGATCTGCTGTTGATACTGACAAAGTGCTGTTTCTGCTGGCAGTTCATGACTCGCATTTACTGTGGTCCTTTGCATACAATTATGCTGTGAAGTACCTTTGTAAGAGCTTCTATCAATAAGTGGAACTGACTTCTTGTTGTTGGCTTTTAACTCAATTACCCCTGATAGAATCTCATCATACAGCAAGTGAGCACCACTTACTTTTCATATGCTTGCTCATCTTCCTGTCTGCTGGTATGTAGTGGTTTTAAGAAAGCAGTTCAACTACCTGTAGCTAAAAGTTCTGACTGTCCTGAATTTCCCTTTGAAATTGTTACCTATGCAGTAAAAAAGAGTGGTTTTTTTTAGCAAACCTGGAACCCGTCAAAATCCACAAACCCAACTTACCTGTACTGCTTTCTTCCTATCTTTTAAATGGGTGTTTCCAATTACGTACCAAAACTGTCACCTATGTGTATACAATATCTGTCATCCAGAAGATCAGAGATAGATAAGGTGATATTTAAACTCCACATAGGTTTGCTTTGTTCATCAAAGAAATATAACTGTCTCTGGTGTGGAATACAGTAAGTATTTTTCAGCAAAACTTTTTGCCATTTTGCAAACAGAATGCAATTACCTATCTTTTTTTAAATCTAGTAGAGAAATTGAAGGAAGATAGTCGTTTTACCAAGGGCAGATATGAGACTTACTTTCATCTTATCCTGAGGAAGACCCCTTTGAAAGGCAGAGGCACTAACACTGTGCAAAGGACATTATTTCCTTACTGACTTGAGATCCAGCTGCTGTGAGTCCCATCTGGCTCCTGATGACACTAGTAGCAGAACTCCTATCCATTAACAATGGGAATGGAGTTGGGTTTTCAAAAGTCCAGACTTACCTCTGCAGTGCTTGAGGGTTGTGTCATTGTGCTACAGCCAAATTGAAATATTTTAAGAAGAATCTGTGCATGGTACTTTTATCTGTGTAACTATGGTTAAGATCCCTCAAGCAAATCAAATAGTCACGTCAGTGGGATGAAAAGCTCCAGAGACCATCCCATGGACTTCCCTGAAAGGGCAAGCCACTGTGTTAAAACATTTCAAAATACATCAGTTTCTGGAAATTTTGAAATAAAGTTCTGAACAAAAAAAATGGGGAAGACACAAGGTATTACTTGAAATAAATTTCCCCTCGCTGTTACTGTAAACACAGAATGCTTAAATACCTTTTCTTTCCCTCTCTAATTTAAAAATAATCCAAACATGAGAGCAAGCGCTTGTTTGAAAAATCTATTACTGTTTCAGTAACAAAGTTAGAGTTACAACCAGAACTGTGAGCAAAAATAGATCCAGCTGGCCAAAATCTATCCCTTGAAGCCCAGGGGAGTTCTGTCCAGTGACGATCTAGATTGAACTAAATAGATCACAGATTCATTTCTTAGTGAGTATGTGACTGCATAAGAGCAATATAAAGCTTTAGAATGTCTCAGAAGTGCGTGCAGAATATGAATGGTTTAGATATTAGTTTATTCAACTCTTTAATCTACTAATATCAATTATAAGAAATTCTTCATATCTTGTGTTTGAGCTGTTGCGTATCAAGATACAGATGAGATTAATTTACTTTCAGGGTACATGACTTCTGATCTTGTGACTATCCTAAAACACTCTGTCTGTATAACTCATTTTCTTTTCTGTGGATATCCTTTGCTAATTCTCTCCTTGACCTGCTTTTTCTTCCTTTTTTATTTCCCCAAGCAGAACTGGTTGGAAGTCTTTCAAAATGTAAGTGAAAACCAAAGATTTTTTTGAGATGCATATCTATCCATTTCCTAACCAGTTCCACCATAGATGCCTTTCTTCTGAAGTGTATTGGTATTTCCTTTCCTCACATTTTTTTAAGTGTTTTCTTTTTTTCACCTTTCTGTGGTCTTGTGTTTTTCTTTGTCATCATCCCTATTTGCAGTCACTCCCAGTGGGATGCTAACCCCACAGTAGTACACCTTCCCCCAGGACATTGCTTCTATAATCCCTGGGCCTTTCATTCTGTTTTTATGCTTTTTTGCAAGGATTGGGATCTGGAGTAAGTCCTATGGGCAGAGCTTTTGAATGCAAATTATAGCCCCTTTATGTAAAAGCAAACACTAGAGACTCAAGAGTGGGGCAAATCATCGATGTCGTTGTGGCATGTGGTTGCTCTGCTCCATGGAACTGTAGCTTTCCTTTTATTGATAGTCTCTCAATACAAACTAACAAATAGGAGTAGATCTAATAACGTGAGAATGGGCATCTTGATTTAGATCCCATCTGTTAGAAGCCTTGTTCGCTAATAACCTAGTCAGTAGGAATCCCATTTGAGTTCCCACCTATTCTGTCCTGTGTTTGTTTCCTTGGAGCAAGAATTTATTGCTACTTTTTAATGGAAAATTAGTAGCATGTGATTTTCATTGAGCCACATTGCTCTGACTATTAGCGGCCTAGTAAAATCAAGTAACTTTAATTTTATGCTAATTTATGATAATTTTTAACATCTTTAAATGTAAATTCACCCTAAAAATGAAGGCTCTGTCACTTAAAATGCGTCACGTGCTTCCTTGTAATGACTGATCTTAAGGAGTTGGTTATAAATTCACCTTAGAACTAGTTTAGTATGGATGATTTCTTCTTTTAAGCATTTGGCATCCTCTAATGACAACCCCTGCAGTGGCAAACCATCACAGAGTAAATGCAGCTGGCTTGCTGCACGATCATGAATGACATTGCATTTAGTTATTAATAATTGAAGGAGCTTTGTGTATTCCTTCTGGGTTCTGTATATAATTTATGGATCATAAAGCTACTCGAAAATCTCGGGGAAAAGAATTCTGTTGAGCAAAAGAGGTTTGCAAGAGGCTTCCTTAGCTAATAACTGGGCTTTCTATTATATACATTTCTTTGAAAATACTGTAAATAAGAACATTTGGAATGACTGATTAACTTGCTACCTTCTAGCGTTGTCCTGTCACTGGTTCACAAAAGTGTCTTTCTTATTTCAGCAAGCTCTACAGATGAGCATTTAGATGAATAGGAACTGTGGAATTATATACCACTTACATTTTCCACCTTTCAGCCTTACATTTCAGAAATGGGTAATACTCTGCTGTTTCTTCTGTAAAGACACCAGATGTGAGGTCCATTCCCTGAATCCTAAGGCACTTTCCCATTTTTTAAGTAGAAGAGCAATAATACTCTGGACATGCCACTGTGCCATTTCTCTTAAGAAATACCTATGTTCAGCGCGTGTGTTTAAGAAGAGGTTTTAATCCAACGCTGCTGTGAGTGTGCAAAAGCCCTGTAGTGATAGCATGAAGATGGCAAGACTAGATTTTAAAGCAGTTTATCATGTGATAGTTTAAACAGTCTTGCGTCTTTTGTTTTGTTTTCTTTTTTTAACTGATAGAAGGGTTCAAGGCTGATGAACTGATGGGTGGCAATGATGATGCCTTTACTCAATGATGAGCATCCTCCTCTCCT